AATAACATGAGTATATCTATTTGCTTTAGTTTAATATTATGTGTGTATGTGTGTGTGTGTGTTTGTGTCTGTGCATGTTTGTAAATGTGTGTATACTAGTTTCAAAGAAGCAATACAATCATTGTTGCAGACCAAGGGTAAAGTATTTTTATAATTATTAATAATGAGTCAGTCAGCCAGCAATGAGTTAAAACAGAGAACATAAAAACGGGGGAGGGGGGCAGCAGTTCTCAACTGAAGGTTCTCAAGCCATGCCTCTCTGTGTATTTATTGACAATCAGGGGAAGCAAATCATAAAAAGAATTCCTTATAAATGAAGCCAAATATTTCTTGTCGACCTAATGCGTTCAGGAAGTATTTCACATGTAGCAACACTCCCTCTGTAGGGGGGGCCCTAGCTGTCTCTTGTCTTCAGGGAACACTTCTTTTTCTGTCATCTGTCACAGAGAAATTCTAACTTATGAATTTGTAATTCCTTCAATTCCTGAACAAGGGTTTTCATATAATAGTTGATATGATGTTTGGCTTCCCATAAATCATCACTAAAAATGTTAATAATGAAAACATTTTAAAACTCTGTATTTCTTTTCACTCTTAAGTTATATTTCACCAGAGACATATAGTCAACACTTCTAATTTAAAATTATTTGAAATTATTTTCCCCATGTACTTTAAATAATCAGCTTGATACACAAACAAATTTACTTCCTTTTTGTTATTTAAGAATTTCTTTTTAATCCTTTGGATTTAAATTGTTTTTAATATAAAAGTATTTCTATGACTCACAAATAATGTATATTCAGAAAAATCTAAAGTGTATCCACTTTATTTTTATTTTATTATAAAGAGGTTTTTGTTGTTGTCTCTTTTAATAGGTTATTCTCCCGAAAAGACATAATTCCAGTATACCTCAGGTATAACTTGCCATAAAACTAGAATCAAGTTTAAGCTACCCAAGAGAGTCTAGGCCAGCCAGAACGCAGCGCCAGCCAGAGAGCTGGAATTTCAACCACACACAGGACAGCTGAGTCCCAGCCAAAAGACACCAGCCAAGACAATGTGAAAGCCACCCACCAGGAGCAAGTAGGGAGCAACTGCCTGCAACCCTGTGACTCCAGAGGAGCAACCGACCACCCCCAGCTTCTAAGAGACCCAGGAGGAGCAACAGTCTGCCAGCCACCACGCAACTTCAGAGGAGGGACCACCAATGACCTTGTGACCCCAGAGGAGCGATGACTACCCGCCACTGTGTGAAACCCTGCAGCCCATGCCTGCATGACCCCACCACACAGGGTGCCTCTGCATAAAACCTCAGCAGTGCCCAAGCCCCGCCTCCTACCTCCTGGTGGTAGTGTCAAAGCCCTGTGCTCCTGCGCCCCCCCAGTCCCTTGCATCCTTCCCCTTCCCCCGTCCCCCCTTGCAGATCCACAACCACGCACCTCAGCCCCTGCCCCAGCCCTGTGACTTCAGGGCACCACCACGGATCGAGCCATCACCTGAAGCTATCAGTCGAGCTGCTGTAGAACTAATCTGACAGAAGAAAGGTCGATAGGATCCTGACTGGGTTTACTGGGGGATTGCTGATTACCTGGGAGAGCATCAAAGGGCGTGCCCACTGGTGGGGAATTTGGCCAAATTCTCTTGGGCTACACCAACTGCCCAGAAATGAGCCAGCCACTGGCTGGCTTTTGTAGACTCTGCAGACCAGCGAGAGGATAGTGAGTAGGTAGGAATTTGACCTTGACTTTTTGGGTCCTGTTGGATCCAGGACTCTGCAAGAGCAGGGGCTGCTGTGTGAGGGCACATGCGTAAGTGCCACCAGGCAGGGAACACTGAGAAAACCATTGGGTAGGAAACGGACAGCGAGAATTTGAGTAGGGACCCCAATCATGAGCACACTCAGACAACAGAGATTTGAGCAAAGTCCCCCCAGTGTTTGACCTCCCCTTGCCATCACCCCAACCCTGTGCCTGCCTCACTTCATTTGGCTCCACACCAGTGCCTACACGTCTGGGCAATCAACTTGCCTTTAATCGGGAGCACCTTGACCTGTCTTACCAACAAGAGATTGTCCTCGCAGGCTCTGAACTGACATTTCTCTGAAGTCAGAAGTTCAGAGAAATGGACAAGTTGGGTAGCTGCCCAACTGATCTCAAGAGCATTGTCTTCAGATCAAGAACATATCAATGTCTCGAAGAAACCAAACTATCCCACACAATACACAAGAGCAAAGCAAGATGTCACTAACAAACGGTGTAACAGTATCAGTGGAGTCCCTGAAGCCAGAAAGTCTGATGGAACTTTCTGACACAGAATTTAAAAGAGGACTGACTGAATATATCCAATGGATGAAAGACAAACTTGATGAATTACAGGATACAACAAGCAAAAACCAGGAGGAGCTCAAAAGAACAATGCAGAATAATGCAGAGAAAACAAACGAGGAATTAGGGGCACTGGAAAAACAAGAATCCACTATTCAAAATATAAGGTCCAATGTTTCAGAGGCTCTCAACATGATGGAGGGACATATGAGCAGAGTTGATGAGATGGAACAGAGAATCAGTGGAATTGAAGACAGAATTGTCACCACTGATCTGCTAGAGCAAAAAGCAGACTCAAAAAAGAAGGAAAAAGAAGAAAACCTAAGAATAATGTGGGAAACCATCAAGAGAAATAACATGCGCATCATTGGAATCCCAGAAAAGGAAGAAGCAAATAAAGGCTCTGAAAAAGTCGTGGAAGAATTACTAGAGGAAAACTTACCAAGCATAATGAAGAGTGAGAGAATATGTATTCAGGAAGCTCAGTGAACACCATATAGATTAGACCCCTAAAGAAAAACATCAAGGCAGATCATAGTTAAATTTGCCAGAACCAAAGATAAGGAGAGAATCCTGAAAGCAGCAAGGGAGAAACAAAGAGTAACCTATAAGGGAGTACAGGTAAGATTAAGTGCCGATTTCTCAGCAGAAACCATGCAGGCAAGAAGAGAGTGGAAGGACATATATCAAACACTCAAAGAACACAACTGTCAACCAAGAATACTGTACCAAGCAAAATTATCCATCAAATATGAA